ACACGTCAGGGGTTTGCTTACATCCATCAGTAATCTCTGCAACGGAACACAGAAAATTGACAGTGTGATTAGCTATGTATTAGTGATAGCGCATTCGCTTTGTCTACCTTTGGGGTGTAAGAGCGCCGTAGAACCATTCTATGTGGACAATAAAGAATTTCAGATACCCTATGAAACTCAGTTGCAAAATGTTATGGTACGTTTGGGAAGGGTTACGACTAGCCGTGTACCGATCGAGTACAACAGTTTGGAGAACACTAGAATATTTTTGTTTTATCTCAGTACGGTGTTCATCAATGTCGACTTCAGTCTCATTCAGTTACTCATAGAATATATTGATGAAATCCAATTGGAAAACCAAATGGTGAGGCTCGAAAATTTTCAGCCCATTTCGTCGGATTTCGACTACTTATAAAATAAATTGGCACTAATCGGTAACTATAATAACATATGTAATACAGTATTGTTAGAATAACCCATCTGTATGTCATGTCACAACTGCAAATTTGAATAAAATATTATTAAGATTTGAATACTTTTTTGTTAAAAATGAATTTGAAGATACATAGGTAAAATATATAGACGTTAACTGTAATCTTTTGCATATTCAGTGCACTGTTTTATGTTGCTTAACACTTAAAAGGTTATTGAAAATTGTTCGGTGATTACGGTCATTTGCGTTAAAAATTTAAAAAAAATTTAAATATTTGCCTCTTAAAAAGAAACTGACTGTTTCATAGTAAAATCATAGCTTCAAAATAGAATCCAATTGTTTTAAAAAGGTTTTATTGAGTTAACTGCAACAATTGCTCTTTATGACTAGGAATTTTTTTTTTTTTTTAGTACTGCGCCAATTTGTATGATGCACATTCTCTCTTTCGTTTTAGGTGTCAGTTTAATTTTTCATCCTTGGTTTTTACCGTTATACACTAGTAACTCTTTACAACCTGAACGACCTAACTGTTTTTCATTCCATCTGATCTTATCTCTCACTTTACACCGTACTGCTTCGCGCCAACCTCGACCACTAAATTTTTTTTCCAACGCCTCATACTGGCGCTGCCAAATAATCCCGTTATCAATTGCACACATTCGTTCAACAGCTCCTCCGTAAAATAACAACTATAGCACAACACAAATGAAACTCCAAGTCGAAATCATTGGCCCATTTTCGGCCCAACAAAACACGGCTGTACAACGTGCACAACACACAGTTTCTGTATTTTCCATAGTTTTACATGAAAATGATTTTTCTAAAGTATACCGGGTCACCAACTTAACTCCGTTCTTATTACTTGAAACTTGGAACAGCTGTTGTCAATGAAATGAATAAAATTCAAAATTAAATCGCCATAATGATATTGTTTAAAGCTTTTATTCAGCTGAAATGGTATCCGAATGTAGGTGACTATGTCCTAACGTTGTAACACCACTTAGCTATTGTTATCAGAGTTCATAAAATACATATATTTCAGTATCAATGGGGGAGGGGGGATGGACTACACGTTCATAGATCAGTTTCCAAATTTTAAACTACTATGATAAACTATGACAATAATTCAAATCATCTTGTTAATATATATATATATATATATATATATATATATATATGATTTCATTCAAGTCTATGTCTTCTACGAATTTTTTATTTGTTTTGCACAATATAAAAAAAAATATTCACCTGTTTATTGTGTATGTTATATTACTGCCTAGTGAGCATCAGCTACAGTCGTATCAGTTGGGTATTGATGTTCTACGAGAACCGGCCGTTTAAAAGAAGGTTGTTGTTTTTTTTTCTGTCCTCGACATGAAAAATATGTCTTTTGGCTATGGCAAGGAATTGGCAGTGTTAGTGTACATTGCATAGGACCAAAAGAGCCATAGGACATATGCGTAACCTAACGTCGTTCCTTCGAGGGAAATATGTTTTATTTTTATCAAAATAACAGTATTTGCTTAAGATATTGATAAAAAATCCACGTGCGCCCGAAAAATACATTTCAAACGGAATGGTAAGCGGTTGCCTGCCTATTACTTTACTGGCAGTATGGCATAGGTAGGTACGGTATTATTTTTTTTTTAAATGTTATGTAACATAACAAAAAAACGCAGAAATATAAAATTTGACTAAACTTAGGTAAACAACAACAAAAAAAGCCTAATAAAAACATTTTATAGAGGCTATACGTAAAGTTTGTATATAATAAAAATTAAAAAATGTGGTCTAAACAAATATCAAATAAACAATTGTTTCTCAGAAATTATGCCACACAAAACATAACGTTTGTTGTAAACCGTGTAATGGCTGCATTTTCGGAAAATCAATACATTATCATAAGATTAAATTACTTGTGGTGAATAGTTCCAAAAATTCTAATTTTATCGGTCACAGCATTTTGCAGAAAAAAATGACGAGCTGGCAGAAGGAAATAGTTTTGTGCTTAGTGCTGTCGTTTTGCCAACCGGCGCGATTATTGGAAACCGGTTACGGGTATGACACAAAAGAATACATTACAAAAGATTGTCTCCATAAAGATTTGATATGTGCATACCTGTACAGCGGGTCGACACACATAAGGATAGTTCAGATATTAATTGGCCCCAATCACAATATTCCATTAAGACTAACGGCCAGCTACTTATGTAGTTACAGTCCCACTGTAAGACAACAGATTGCTTTGCTGTACAGTCTAAACGAAAAGCGTGTGGGATCGTTGTGGCTAGTGAATATGTACATTAACATAATACCTACTCTGGCCAGACATACGGAGGATGTGCGGACAGACTATCGGAAAATTAAGGCCACACATAAGTACGTCGTTGGAAAACTGCGAAAAGAACTGACCCGATGCCGAGAAGGTAACTCCTACGATAAATTCGACGGTTTGATAAAATCAAATCCTATTAATCCGACACAAAAAGACCTGTTACTTATGCTATCCGAAAACCATCGCGCGGCCAGAACGCTGCTGAAAAAAAACAAAAAATATGCTACGTGGCGTGACGCACAGTTTGTCGAGGCGGCCATGGAGACTTTGAAATCTAAAAGAATTTTTATGGGCAACTTGGGTTCGAGAGCAAATGTCATTAGAGATTTAATGACCGTGTTCAACGTGCAAGTGGGCTGGTCCGACATGACCGACCTAATGGAAAATGCACTGTTCGAAGCGCGCACACTGGACTGGGAAACCGACAACCTTGTAAGTATAAAATCTTACTACGAGTTGACTTTTTCGTTTCTGAAAATCATCATGTTCCGGCTGACGCTAAAACACTTGGCGTATCTACAACACTATGCAGACTATCCGAATACTATGTGCATTACGCGCAAGAATGGCATGTCTTAGTACAAGAATTTGGTGGATTGTTGAAATTGACTGATGACCTACACGTCAGGGGCTTGCTTACATCCATCAGTAATCTCTGCAACGGAACACAGAAAATTGACAGTGTGCTTAGCTATGTATTAGTGATAGCGCATTCGCTTTGCCTGCCTCTGGGGTGTAAGAGCGCCTTAGAACCATTCTATGTGGATAATAAAGAATTTCAGATACCCTATGAAACTCCGTTGCAAAATGTTATGGTACGTTTGGAAAGCGTTACAACTAGCCGTGTACCGATCGAGTACAACAGTTTGGAGAACACTAGAATATTTTTGTTTTATCTCAGTACGGTGTTCATCAATGTCGACTTTAGTTTTATTCACTTACTCATAGGATATATCGATGAAATTAAATATGAAAACGAAAAGGAGAGGTTCGACAATTCTCATCCCGTTTCGTCGGATTTCGACTACTTATAAAATAAATTGGTAACTAGGTTTTATGTAAAACAATAATGTTAGAATAACCCATCTGTACGTCATGTCATCACTGCGAATTTTAATAAAATAACAATAAGATTTTAATTTTGTTTTCTACTATTTATATGTTTTGTTAAAAAATCATTTGTGGATATAATGGTAAAATATATAAATGTTATTTGTAATTTTTTGTATACTTAGTACATTGCTAAGGTCACAAAAAAAACAAAATTGCCAACAGACCTCATAAAGAGAAATTGCCTGTGTTAAAATAAATCATAACTTTATATCGAATGCAATTTCTTTTTAAAACGGCTTTATTGTGTTATATGGTTTTTGTGTTCTTTCAATTGACTGCAACTATTGCTCCTTATGACTAGGTTTGTTTTTAATTTTTTAGAATCCAAAAGCGCCAAAGGACATGTTCATAACCCGATGTCGTTTCTTCGAGGGAAATATGTTTTATTTTTGTCAAAATAACTGTATTTACTTAGGATATTGATAATAAAAGCCACGTGCGCCCGAAAAATACATTTCAAACTGAACGGTTAGCGGTTGCCAGTCCGTTACTTTTACTGGCGGTATGGTCTCTCTGTCTTGTGTATTGGTTTATTTCACATAAAATGGTGTACTTAAGATCGACGGGTTGGTGTAAGGTACGATGGCTGTCTTTTTCGTGTACAGGGTGATTCATTAAGGACAAGACGCTCGTGTTGTCTTAAAAAATGATGACGTTATATTGTAGTTTTCATTTTTGAAAACACTCTAGTTTATGTTATTTCAGAAAATTCATAGAGTTACCAAGTATTTTCATTTTTCAGAACTCTTTGAACTTTTGAAAATGGCAACGTATATTATGTTCAACTAAATTTTTAAACCAAAAACAATTTGCTGAACATTTTCACTTATCGACGATCAGTCTTGTTTTTGGTAATCACATTTAAAATGCAATTACTTTAACAGTAGTTGGTCAAATCTGGCTTTCGGCCGGTCAATATTTTCAGCAATTTTTTCTCAATTTAAAACGTTAGTAAAATATTTACACTATCGTTTAGGCTTGAAAAGTTGATAAAGCAATAACATAGACAAAAAAATACAAACTACAGGCTCCTGGAATAATTATTCCAAGAGGAAACGATGGTCTTGTATTCTCAACGAAACACCCTGTACGACTTAACTGCCGTTTCGGTATACTTACGTATGGCACCATTTGTTTGGTCTCCCTGTAAAACGGGTCTGAGAATTGCCACGTGAACATTATTCCCAAGTCGATGCACAGCAGTATGCCCACCATGAGGAATAGCTGAGTGTCCTTAACGATCTGTAATGTAACGATAAACGTTATGGTATAGGATGATGAACACAAAAATAAATAAATAATGATTTTAGTAACAACAATAACCAAAAAACCTACATAAAAAAAATAAAAATGAATATCAAAACAAAAAAAGGGTTATATTTCGTCTTTTAATTAAAAAAAAAAAAGGGATATTTTTAAAGCCGTTTTATGGTTGTTTCCCGAATGATTATACTTGTGTAATTGCTATTTGTATTAACGGTATAATTTGAACTTTATAAAAACACAATAATTATTTTTATTGTCGTTGTGTGGGATAATATGGTGTTTTTTTTTTAATACATATTACAATAGCTATAGCTTTATTAATGTTCAGTTCGGTCGGTTACATATAGAAATAATGCAACGTTGCTTTACATAAAACTCGTTTATGTTAAGGTAATTTTTTTCAACACAAATTAAATTTGATAAATACAAATAAAAAAAAATAAATATGTAAGTTAAATGTTTTTCCTATAGAAATAACTAGTAATTATCATACAATTTGCTTAATATGTTTACTTACTAGTGTTGGAAATCCAAAAATTCGGATTAAAAAAAAAAAAAAAGCTATTTAAACCACTTAGAAATTTAAATAAGTATTAAATATTCCTGCAGTATAAAGCGGTGTACCTAAGTAAATTATTTTTGTTGAAAATGTAAAAATAAAATAAAACACAGCACAAATAAATTGCTTTGGGATTTCGGATTTGTTGAAATCCGAAAATCCGAAAGCAATTTACTGTCAAAGTTAAGAGTTTATTTTGAAGTTTTATTCAAATTGTTTTGCTTAGGTACACAGCTTTATAATGTAATAATATTTATACGATTTTTAAGTGACTTAAAGTTTTTTTATTTTTAATGCGGATTTTCAGATTCCCATCACTAACAACTACATTATAGATGTAATGTTAAATTTCTCATAACAAGTAACACTCAATTATAATATTAATTATATCGTAGTGAAAAATGTTATTATCACAATAAAATAATAAGGATTTTTTTCTCCTAAAATATCAAAAATTGCAGAATTAATACAGTTATGCGTTTGGTTATTGATGACAAAGATTTTAAGGAGTTGAGATACACCTGAATATACTTCTGCAATTATGAAACATAGAATATGTTTCGACGGCTATTTCCCTTATCTCATACTTCTTATCAGTTTATCCACCTTATCAATAAATATCCTTATCACTTTTATTTTTCTTATCACCTTCTCATTACTCCTTATCCCTTTTCCTTGTTCTTTCTTCTAAAAAATGTCGTTTTGACTTGAGCTTCTAATAATTTATATCATACAGGCTGTCGTTTGAACTAACCCCATCAAAACTTATAACTTTATTGCCTAATATAGTTCGGTTGAACCTGAATCGATTAATAAGCTGTAGGCTGTCCAACGTGAAGTGTAAAGCTTGTAATTAAAAATATCGAACAGATTTCAATTTTTAATCGTTTAATCATGGTAAAGTTAGAAAAACAATTATAACTTAATGTTGAGTTTCAAAGCGCTTGGCGTTTGAACTTATTTGACATCTCGTCGGCCGCGTTAATAGCATACAATATTATTAATTTCCATTGCAGAATCGACTTGCAAACTATGCAAACTATCAGACTAAAATGTAAACACATTAAACGCCGTTGACGTACTAAGGAAATCGCTTTAAGTTGTCATGAATAAAAAAACGGCACGATTAAGTAAGTAGTCGATTTGCAATTTAAACTAAAACCAACGACCCGGAGAGACGATTATTTCTCAAAACGTTTTCGACGACATCTCGCAAAGAAATACCAACGAAAAGCGTTTTGTAGTTTCTTATGGGGACTGTTTGGAAAGAACTCCTTTGTTATGAGAGCAAAGATTACATTTACATAATAGGCAAACGTTAATAAGGGACCTTTGGTAAATTGTAGCATTTCAAATAACAAAGCAAGTCGGGCATTACCTTTTTGTTGATGGTGATGTCGGTGAATATGGAATGGACCCTCCAGGTTTTGGAGAACATGGCGCCGAAAGCCAGTGAGAACCCGGCCATCAGCAACCACGCCCTGGCCGCGCATATGTAAGGAAACATATTAATACTTGTCATTCTGCTGTTGAGACCCAAAAATATGACACTGCTGTACGTCAACATGGCACCGATTATGATCAGGTTGTTCAAGTGTGGACTCGACATCTTTATGTACCTGCAATGGCAAAACTATCGATCAGAGTTTGGCAAAATTCAATTAAGCAGCTAATAATACCTATAAAAATTCAAATAGCAGCTTAATTTAAATAAAACAAATAATTTTCCATTCGATATGAGTTCATAAAATATATCACTGTTCTGCAAATAACCTAACCGGAAAAAACCTTCAATTAATCTAAATAGAATTCATTAGGTTGCCAAGTACGTAGCAAGTAGTAGAAGAATAAGTAGCATGACTTCTTTTATTGATATGAGCTGTAAATAAGCTGTCATAGCTTTAACTCGAGTAAGATAAGTAACTACAAAATTTTGTTGTTTTCCCAGCAGTTAATGAAAATTATAGATAACCTTTATCAAGTATATCAATATATTATCTACAACTTTTTATAGTATCTTTACCATAAGTAATTTTAATATAATCAATAAGATAAAAACTGCAATTTACAGTAAATATTTTTTTCCAAAATAACAATTGGAACTGAACTAAACGTGAAGCAAATAAAAATCCAAACACTGAATTTCTTGATCGTATAAAAACTGGAGGAAAATATCGTTTACCGTCGCATCGACGACACGTGTACTAAACAAAATGTATTCTTTAAAGCAACGAGTGGGAGAGCCAAGAAAAATCCGTATTACAAAGCGATTTGCTTATTCAAATTTGTCGGAACTCCAATAATATCTTATTTGGGCAACATAGTAATATTGAAACTTTATATTTTTCTAGACGGCGTTCACGTCATGAACAATATTAAACTTATTAGATTATATGAAAAAAATATATACACAAATAAACCGAGAATGGGTTTTATAGAAAGTGTTTTTCTAACCCTTAACCGACAATGATAGTTGTTATTTGTAGAAAGTTCAACTCTTTAATAATATATTGTGGTTGCAATTTAAATGGCTATGACACTAACGCATCTAGGAAAATTTAGTCGATTGGGAAGACCCCAAAGACAAACCTTTGAACAGCCACTGAACTAACTAGGTTGGAGTATACAGCCAAGTGGATCATATACTCCAATTGTGGTGTCTCTCACCGACAAAGGTTTGTTTTTAATAAAACATTATCACTCTGGTTGTATAAGTGGACTTTGCATTTTGTACAGATGTCTTACTTTTGATCTCTATACTTGATGTTGACAATGAGGAACGCCGTGGCTATGACGATGCCTACCACAGCGGCCACGGCTAATCCTATGTACACCGCCATGTTGACGTGAGAGTCTTCGTATATGGTAAGCGTGCGGTCTTTGGGAGGACCTTTGCCACCGGCTTTCCATCGGACTTCTTCTCCCACACTCAAGTCCAACGTGCCCGTCACGCCGTTATACTCGCCTATCTTCACCTCCTTGTCACCTGTGTAAAGAAAAAACATAAATACGCATAATACAGATGAAAAAAATGAAAAAAATAATCCTCCTGTATTTCCTATAAGTTTACTATCTAATAACCTCAGATCAGTATGACCGAACAATGAAATAAATAATCCTGGACAAAGAAATGTTATCAAATATCACTGTAATGTTATCAGTATTTCTTATCAGTTAACGTTATTATTGTAAATAGTGTGTACAATACTTTCGACACTATAATAATTTAGCCCTACCGCATTGAGTTTGGGAACAAAATAATCCTCCTGTTAAACAGCGTGGTCTAAGAAATATTATCAATCATCAATGTACAGCTGTTATCACTATCAATAATCGTTAATCAACAAGTATTTCTTATCAGTTACGTTATTATTGCAATAATCTGTGCAATATTTTCGGCATTATTATTTGGCCCTACTCCATTAAGAGTAAACCAATCAATTAGCGCTATTCGAAAATCTATTGTTGTCTTACAATGAAGTGCCCTATCCGATTTTATCTAATCTGTGGTAGTAATCTCTTTCGCTGATCTCTTGGAAGCTGCCTCTTATCACTAATCACTCATTTCTTATCAGGAATCATGATTAGCTGTGTCTTATCAGAATCCGTCACTGGCTGGATTTCATTATCACAGACGTTAAAAATTGATAGACTGATTTATCAATTTATCTAACTGTCTGGTACCTTAATGGGAATTCCGATTTTTCGTGATGCCGTTAGGGTATTACGCGTTATGGTATTTATTTTATAAAGTATTGTAGTATTTAAAAGGCCGCATATTCTACCAAAATATGTATTATGTTAATTAATTATGTTAATAGTAATAATTTTGAAACAATATACGGCCCGTACTGCGTTATAATAATCAATACCTAACCGTTTCCGTGTGTTTTTTTAATCGCGTGCCTACTGCCCGTATACGAGTCGGTCGTTAAAAGTAAAACGGCGATATTATACAGTTTTATTGTTTTCGAAAAAACCATTTAATTTCGCAACGATGGGGTTTGGTTTTAGAACTCACATCGAAATTCAGTTTGGATATTTTGAATACTTTCCCACGTCTACAAATGCTAAACAACGATAACGATAAATTTAGCTTTAAAAAACACAAGGATCGTTTTGATAAATCAGCTATAATACTCAAACGATAAACGTGGAAAGCATTCCTTGAACTGCAATGCGTTGTTTTTGTTATCTATAATTGTCTGATTAAGTCTGTAAAAAGTGAAATATGGCGTTTTTCCAATGTAATTCAGGGAGATTATTTTTGTGTACATTAAATCAATAAAGTAACAGCGCTGTTGTATTTAGGGGAACTTTATAAGTTCTCACCTCGACATTAGTTTTTTTTGGCTTTGAAATGGATCCCTTCTACGATGGAATTTTCTATTAGCGGTTCTCTGTTCGTGACGTTAACCTGTATGGGAATGGCCGCTCAACAACGTTATTGTATCATTTTTTTTTTGTTTTTAAAACGACAAGAGTAAGACCGTTTCTCCCCTCGCTTTCGTTATTGTTATTATTATCATCTTATTTTTTTTCATCGCCGTCGTTAAATTATTGTGTCATGGTTATTTACGTTTAACGGTGCGCTGTAAAAATAAATAAATAAGTAAAAACAAACGGGATACAAATCGCCAGAGCCCCGTCAGGTGAGCAACAGTGTTCAAAGACCGGAAACCGTGGGAGTGGAGGAATGAAGTTGACGAATACGGTCGTAACCGGAAGTATAATAGCAGCAGCAGCAGCAGATAAAAAATGTATACAATATTGTGTATAATTATATTCAACAAAATATCGTCACGAGTCTCACAGCGATTGTTTTTTTATTATTGTTATTATTTTTTTTATGTACCTACTTCACGTTTTCGGTGTTTGATTCAAACATTTCCTTCGGTAGTCAAAGATAAAGCCTACAATCAGATAACATGGTCAGCGGTTGACTGCACCCTTAGCCGTCTGACCTACAGACCTATTAGGCCTATGGAATAATAAATAGGGTGTCCCAAAAAGAATGATGGGGTTTCAAACGGCTGTAGGTTGTGAAGTATTGGACCTACAGCGCTCTGGTAGGGCTTGAATGAAAGAGGGAGTATTCCCTCGAAAGTAATTATAATTATAATTTATTAACGAAAAACTTTGAAGATTAAATGAGTATTTTCAATGTCCAGGGCATAAAATATAAATACAGTATTTTATTTATATAATTTTTATTTGACAAATTTTAATTAATTACAAACAACATTATTCGAATAATATTTTTAGTGGATTATCAGCTGAATAATTTTGCATTCTAAAGATTATTAAAAATACTAAGCCAAAAACGTTCCTAGCTTGGTATGGTATAATATATAGTTGGATTTTTGGTGACTGATTAGCAAAATAAATGTGTCCTTTGTTCAACGACCAAACGCGGTTCGTACAGAGGTGTGAAATGTGGCGATAGGCTGCTACCGCTTTTGAAACAACAACAATAGGGTTGGGTGCTAGCCGGAAAGCCAAGATAAATTTCGCAGGCATGTATTTGACTATTTTATTATGATAACAAATTGTGAACAAATATTATAGTACATGCTGTGTGCCCTGTTGACGTCGCTCATGGTTCGCGTTAAAACTGTGTTACAGAATTACTACAGTCGACAAACAAACACTGAAAGTACTAAAAAAGATAAGGACCAACAATAGCGCAGCCCGAACAACGTGGACGTGCAATGGCTTGGTATGATAACACACCGACGCCGTTGCTACAACAGAATACCTACAACTAATTTCGGATGCAAGACCGGCGTGCTGTTAAATTGCATACAAGGAACGCCCAGATTAAAAAAAACCATCTTCCCTACCTTTGTCACACACAAGTTGAGTGTCGAGAGTGTGCAAATTGTAATCGTTATGACGTAGCGGCTCGTAGTTGAATAGTTATTATAGTTTGCATTAGGATAAAGCGAAAAGCGAACAAACAACAAAATTTACCAAACGGATAAAACCAAAAAATGGATGTTATTTGGAGAGTTCTGGTACTGATATAGAGGTTGAATAGTATTAAAAAATGTCTATAAAAATAAATTCATTATTTATAACTCAGTATTTAAAATATTAAGAGTTAATTCATAACAGATAAGAGATTAGAGGTTAGTGATAAGAGATAAAGACAAATGATAAGTGATAAGCGATAAACCATAAGCGTATTTTCACGGAGGTGCCGAAAGGAGACGGTTTGCTGATAAATCGATTTGGTGATGTTTTAATGTCAAAACTTTTTTACCGTTTAATAAAATATTTGCTCCTATCAGTAAACAGCTTTACCAGCAATTTGGAATGTTTGGTACCTATTACAAAGCTAAGTCATTTTGGCAGTGATCACATAATCCTTATCAATCTAAACATTTTCAGCTCATATCAGTTAACAGAAAAGCGATAAGTGATAAGAGATAACATGTTCACTGTTCAATGTTTTTTCAAAATTATTAAAACCAATAAAGTGTCAGTGTTAACTGAACTGAAGAAATATAATAATGTATCAAAGTAATAATTAAAACATGATAAAAAATGACCGTGACCGATTGAATACATAAACAGTCGATTGGAAAATCTCCAATAAAAGAAATGTGCTCTACCAGTATAATGTATTATTATAAAGTTTAGTTAAATGATGTGCACAAAACCAAGTAAGTTTGTTGAACCCTGAATCCCCTACCTCCCCCCTACCACGGTGTCTAAACAGCTATATTGGCATATATTATTGACATTAAATATTCTACTCGGTTTTGGGTCACGGGGGGGTCTAAAATATTCATAATAATATAGAATTATATTTCAACCCGAACAACTGGATTTCCTTGAAACCATAACCGATAATACAACTTTAATAATGATATACATATTATAAAATATAATATATTGTTTTTTTTCAACACGTTTAAGTCGTTCATAGAAATAATTTAAACATAAAGTTCAAAAAAGTCGTCTCTGCTTACAGTCCAATTTGAGAAATATACGATTGAGTAAAAAAGGGGTTTTTTTTTAATTAAATCTATTCACGTGAGTTGTTTCAACATCGAGTTGGGATTTTTAAAAATAATAAACGGTTCAATTAAAACATTTTTGGTTGCCTCGAATAATACATTATACGACTGTTAAAGTTATTACTCATTTCTATAATTTATGAATAGGAAAAATCATTTGTATGAGAATCATAAAGAATACATTTTTTTTAGAGAAATGGAAATCCAACACCGCCAAATGACATGACCCTTGTTCGTAATTTTTTTTTTTTTGCCTTAAAGCAATTTGTACCAAATAGAAGGCATTTTGTGTACAATTTATCATCAACGTCGTTAATAAATTTAAGTAAACCAAAATAAATTCAATTTCAAAGGCCATTACTCATTTTTTATGGAATATAAAATGATACAACGTCAATCGATAAAATTAGACATTATTAAATAGTTCTGTCCGACTGTCATAGTGTTTCAAACCTCCAGTCGAACAATGTTGGTGAAACGCAAAGCTATTCGACGATGGATGAATTGCTCCACTAGCAATTTCACAAAATATCCTTCCTGGTGATGTTATAGACCGTGTAATAATACTGGTATAGGCAGTACACTGTGAAATTATTGTTTCTCTAAGCCATAACCCGAACAGCAAAGCGGCGTACGATTTACCGACTGTCTGGGGTTAAATTGAATGGGTTCCACCGGGATTATGTGGAATGTCGAATAACCTAAAGTTTTGGAAAGCCTAAGGTGGTATGGTCGAAAGGGTGGTGGTCGGGTGAAAAGAGACCGTCGGCGAACGTGGGTATTATAGTCTTTAGAAGATAAAAAAGGGTCAAAGGCGACTTTCATTAGCAGGTTTTCATTCTTATAAAGATTGTAATAATGATAATAATTGCTGCCGCACGAACTGAGATTCGAAATGCAATAATAAAGTATATTAATAACAGTTATTTCATGGCGACAATCGCTCAGCTCCAAGTCAAATAGTATTGCCACAGAATAAACACAAAAGAAACTGTACGATTTTAACGTGGACTCATATGGGACGACATGAAATTCTTGTCTGACATCTTGAAAAACATGGACAGTGCTGGCAGGTGCAGGGAAATTCTTGTTTTTCGTTCATTCTGGCTAAACTGTTCACCCGAGAAAAGGCGGGAAATGGCAATGCTTTAAGCAAACAATTGATTTTATTGCGAATCAGCCATATTCAAAATCATCTCGTCATTTTCAGCCAAATCGTATATTATTTAAACATGAAATAGTTTTGTCTTATCAGCTAACTGTCACCATTTTTATCATATTATCTGTTATCAGCATATTATCTGTATATCCTTATCAATTCCATTGTTATCACTCGTCGAGTAATATCACAGAACAAGCAGACAAGGAACTATACTGTTTTTACATACATTTTTAGTACTTTATAAATTAAATTATAAATACTTAATGATGGACATTTTTGTGCTGATTTATAATTTTTTTTTAAAATTCAAACAAATTATGCACCGTATACCGTACCGTTACCGGTATGGTGTTATAAACAATTACAAGAAGACCAAAGTTTCTTCATAGCCTTTATAGTGTAATATATTCATATTATAATATTATCAAAACATCCATACACATAACCACGAATGTCATTAAAACGGTTTGGCCGACTCACACGGGCGCATTGCATAATTTAACTATTCATTGTTAAATTGAAATTAGCTTTTATTTAAATTAGAATTTATGGCAGAGCCACGTTTTCGTTTAATTCCGTTTTGAAAGAAAAAAAAATGTAAAATCTTATTAACTTTTATTAAGCAAGAGCTGGACGCTGCCATTAAGAACGCAAAAACTACAAGCTGCAGGCTGCTTTTTTAATTTATAAATTCTTATTTAAAACCGTTCTTAAATATTGAAATCATAACGTTTACTGCTGCAATGCCATGTGACTGATAAATCTTAAAAGCCGTATTGTATTTACATAATAATATAAATGTTAGATAGTCGTTATGTTGGCCGGGCAAAAGTTTAAGCACGTGTCTGTACGTGGCGCATTAGAGATAACACTCCTTCGAGACGAAGGATATTATGCGAATATATTATACAACAACTGTATGACCTATTAATTTAAATTAAATACATTCGTGGGTATAGTACGAGAAATACCGAGATTATATCACCGTCTGTTTGCTAAAGTTTAGCTGGATATTAGAATAACTGACGGTTCACAAGTTTGATACTTGTTTTGTTTTTGGATAGATCACTTCGGTTTATGTTTAGCCAGTAATGAGTGAATTAAACTCTGGTCGAAATTAGGAGCTTTTCATTGAGAAATTAAAAAAAATCTGAAGCTGAATAGACTAAATTAAAGTTACCACCATTGATAAAGTCTATTATTCGAATGTTGCTTTGTGGAGGACACTGTCATTCGACAACCCTACTGTCGTTATGTATTTTAACCGCCTTTTGTTATGACTGTAGCCGTTTTTAATTTTATATCTGACGCAGTCAATATTTCAAACAAAAACAACAACAATACAATGAAATTTGACAGATTTTGTGTGCTCTTTTTTTAGTTTTCACAATCTGCAGTACTGTGGAAAATGGCCAAACGGTTTTGATTTCCTTCCCGCGAAGCTTTTCAAACAATAATAATTGGTTATTTGTGTCACATTTACCGGATATTATCGATAGTTTGTAATTCGATCACGTTTACTTTTTCTATTCATTTCCCGGATACGTTATATCCGGTCTCCCGTTGCGTTTCCACTATAATAACGTACACACACCACCATGTGCCGCTTGTGTTTGAGCACGTTAAAATTGAAATCTATAGCCGAAATAATTGTTATTTTTTTTTTACTTTGAAAGAAAAATATTGAATCACGAACGTATCTCACGGCGCCCATAACAAAACTGTAATAGTATTAACAGACAAACCGCGGTCTGGCGGCTTAGCTTACCTTGGAACTGCTTCAGCAGTATGCTGGCCTTTCTCTCGTTGTTGTAAAATCTCACGGGTCCCTGAAAAGTCATACGGAAACCGTTAAAAAAAATAGCACCCTCACCCTGTTTGTGCTGTGTTAACACTCACGGTCACTCCCTCGAAGCTAGTGTCCCGGAGCGCATCCAGGAACAGGTCTTCCCATTCGCGGTCCCTGTACTGGAAGTCGGCAATGGTCCGGTTGAGAGTGCCCTTGTCGTGTGAAGACTGATGCACCTTGCGAGCTACCTCTTGAATGGCCAAGGCGGCAGTCCACACACCGTCGTACGTGTACCCGTGAAATCGCGAATACTCGGCGCCTCTCCTCATGTCGTATTCCTGTTGGTATTCCTTGGACGTCTGCGAATAAACAAAACATGATTGCTCCGTTTAAAATATCAGCTAGACGATGGTTTGGAATATGTCGACAATGGATCCGTGATAAAAAAAAACAGCTGATTACGGATGCTGATAAGAAACAGCTGATAACGGATGCTGATAAGACGCAGCTGGTAGAATATTAGTGATAAGAAATAGCCGACAACGGATGACAAGAGAAAGACGAAAAGAATGCGCTGTGACAAATTTAGGTGACTCTGTCAATCTGTGTTCACCTTGTAAATATTATATCTATTGTGTTTATTGTAACAGATTTCATAAGCAAAAAAAAAATGGTATACTTTTATTCGAATAAAAATTATAATATACATATACATCCTGGTTTATAGGATGTAAATAGGTTAATAGGTAATGATGTTTATAGGTAATGTAAGAAGGAATAATTGGTGGCGCATACGTTTTGAAATGTTACCTATTATTTTCTATGCTCAACAGGTTTGTTTGAAATTCATGCATTGACTAGCAAGCGATATTTTTATTTTTCAAATTATCTATAAAACAACAACGACAATACAAATAGTTGAATACAATAACTAGGCGTTTTATTGCTTGTGTTAAATTATTATATCAATGCGATAACTTGGTAAGATGACGTTATGAATGAAAGTCACTTTAAAACGTTATCTAAATCTACTCAGAAGTTCGACAAGAGGAATGCGGGTAAACCCGTAGAACGATGAAATAATGTATTGTGTGTGCGGGAAACGAAGTAGAATATTAATCTCAAGAGTGTATTTCAGTAGAACGACGGTCAACAAATTTAAAACGTTGAATAATTCAATTACGGTGAAGGGTTCGTGGATAATTGCAGCGGGGAAATATATATTATTTCACTTATGTACACACAGCGTTGGCTGAAATTCCATTAATATTAATAGAAGTTCAATAGTTCAAAACGACCACAATGGAAATACACGATTGGATTTTGAAAATACCGTTTTACCCGGAATGATATTATAACGCGTTTGGTCAATACGTTTCAAGTTTGGTCTCAAATAAGGTATGACGTTAAAATAAATGATAAAATCCGCACAAAAAACAGGTAAAAATACATAAAAAAAAAATAAAAGTATTTTGTACATTTACCAACGCAATTGTAAATAGTTAATTATCAGTCTAAAGGGAAAACGATTTTTTCCAGTATCAAAACAATGGTAAAAGAGTTTTTGATGAGCGAAACACTAAGAGGATAATTTTCTTAGTTTGTGAGTATTTGATAACAAAAAAAAAAATAGAAGAGAGAAGATAAAAGAGTAAGTAAATTGTATAGTATTGTTAAGAAAACAGGAAAACATTTCTTTTTGAATTAACAAAAATAAATAAATTGATGTGCTAAAGTCTAGACGGTTAAAGACAACGCGACAGAGGCTAAAAGCTATACATTGTAAGCTATAAAGTTGATTAATTTTGAGACAAAATGATAAAGATATAGTGTATGTGACGTTGTTAATAAAATCAGTCAGGCATAAGTAAATAAATAGGTCCCAAAAGAATATAATATCAACGCTATCAGTTCTGTGGTCTCAACACGAGGCAACCAGAGACCATAAACACATTATCCATGTACACATACTAGTCATTGAGCTCGAATAACACCATCAATTATTGTTTAGTTTTGCGTTTATTCGCCCCGTGAGGGCTGTGCACATAGCGGTAATTCCAAGGCAACTCTGCACACATGAATTATTATTTCATTCATGCTGCATATTACTTTGTTGCGTATGATACAATTTAGTTTCAACTAGAAATGTCGCCCTTAAGCCAACGGTTCGATTTAGAATTTGTCATACGGTTTAGTTGAAATTGTATTTGAAAGTTTATGCACACAATATTTGTACACCACTCGGCTTGAACAATAGAAAATCAAATAAAGTAAGTATATAAACACTGGCTTGCAAAGAGCAAAGTGAACGGAACACTTTACACGTCTTATATGTTATACCACTTGAAACACGACGGTGTGTCAAATTCAATAAAACCAACATAGTATAAACCGTGTTATAATAGTACACTCGTATCGCTATCGAGTATACGAATGACCCCAAATTAGTATTAAATAAATATTGTAACTATGAACCGACAAACATAATAGCCAGGTCTCGTCTACCTGTCTAATATCAACAATTTTGAGTGCAAGATCAAATGGACAAGACGAAGAAAGAGTAAATACTACAAAAATTAACAAAAACAATATGATTCAGCATACTGAAAAAAGAGAGCGTTGTTGTTTTTTTAAAAAAAAGACAAAACAAATATTTAATGATATAAATTTGAATTATTATTATTTCTTTAGCATAATAACAACAACACTTTTGATCCCTGTCGCTGTTTAAGCCGAAGAGCGCGTTTCAAAGAAAATGTATTTTATGCTAACAATAAAGCCGTTACCCAAACACAAGGCGGTACCAGACTTTTTTATTTTTTTTATTTTTATTTTTTTCTCGGCTCGAAAGAGATTAATTTGGTGTGTACAATTTTTGTTTGTTTTTTTGTTCACTTAGTCGAGCACAGAGTAATTCATTCGAATGCGTAAAACACTAAAATGAAAATATGTGAAAACCTACTTCAAGAAAGAAAATCCAGTATAGAAATCAGGATTGTTATTGAACTGAGAAAAATTGTTAACAGAAAATTAAAACCATAGCTGTGACACAAACGTTATTTGTTCTTTTAGGATTGACAGCTCAATTAGCTGGACGGAAATATAAAAATAATAATAACTTTGTTTTGTATGAAATGTATATCCGTAAGTTGAAACTGTTCTACTGTCCCCATAGTTTGGCTAAACGTATTCGACTTAATACTTAACCATAAACCGTCCAATTAAAATTGTAATTAAAATATTAACTTTTCATCGACGGACTGACAATCAATTAAGTTGAAACAAATCAAACAGTCAAATGTTTTTAACTAAATATTTTATCATTAATCGTCCAATTAAAATATAGATTATTAATTAATGAGCTGACAATCAATTAGTTATAAATGTTTTTAAGTAAATATTTTAATTTGAATCGCCTAACCGAAAAATGAATCGTCAATTAATTAGGTTGTTTAAATCCATTATTTAAGTGCTATGATGGCGAACAGGAAAATAATATGTTTATTATGTCATGTCGAAAATGCTTTTACATGAATTTCAACAAAAAATAATTCAACAGACTTAAATCTAAATTTTCAAATTTTCCTCAAATTTTTACCTTTTTTAAAGTTATCCCTAAAAAATTAAGCTCTTAAGAATAATTGACATTTTTTTCCATGTAATTTAACATATATATTTATAAGTAAATTTAATGGAACGACAATTTAGGTGAAAATTAGCATTTTTTTTTTTTGTTCCTGTAAATTTTAAACTTAAGGACTTATGTGATTTTTGTAATGTTAATTGCAATTTTTGTCCGGGAAATTTAATGTCTTCTTGTTTGGCGAAAGCCAAAAGATGTACAATTATATTGTTTGGATTTTCTTAGTGGCTTCGGTGCTTGGTTTGTGTTTCACGGTATGTACACGAGAGGGAACCAAGTGCTTCGAAAGTGGTATTTTTCCAATTCTCGAAATGTTCGTTATGTGTTAAATGAAAAAAAAATATGAATTATTATTATAGAGGCGACGTCGGCCATCGGACGGCAAGCTTTATAGGATAGGGCTTTTTGTACCACTTGACTGTGGCGGTGGCGGCAAATCGCTGGGAATAAATTTGAATATAATGCGAGCAGAACACCAAAATCGTTGTGGCTAAAATACGACGTCCATAAACGGCTCGTACGAGCTGGCATGTATAAGTAAAAGGAACTCGGTCCGTTTGGTTCTTATAGCCGTAAATACCAGAGACCTGTCAAAAATGTTAACGAATGATGGCACTTTCCCTGGAGCGGCCAACCAAAATCGTGCGTTAGATATTATTATGCATGAGAAAAAAAACGGCGTCGAAAAGAGAAGAAAAAAAACACCCTAGTTATTTTCTTCGCTCCACGGAAAAACATTTAATCATGGATATGTTATCTCTTATCAGTTATCTCTTATCACTTATATTTTGTAGCTAACCTACCGAAAGCAAACGGGAGTATAGGAGTATTTCAAATGTTAATAGATAATAGATAAGATATTAGAGTTATGGGATAAGAGACAAAGCCAAATGAAAAGCGATAAGAGTTTATCTCTTATATGTAGCTGTTGCTACAACAGAATACAACTAATTTCGGATGCAAGACCGGCGTGCTGTTAAATTGCATACAAGGAACGCCCAGTTTAAAAAAAAAAAACCATCTTCCCTACCTTTGTCACACACAAGTTGTATGTTGAGAGGGTGCAAATTTAAATGGCTCGTCGAATAGGTTATTTTAGTTCGCATTAGGATAAATAAAAATACGTACGAAACAATATAATTTATAAAACGGATAAAAGCAAAAAAGGTTGTTATTTGGAGAGTTCTGATAGAGATTGATTAATATTAAAAAATGTCTACAAAAAAAAATTTATTAAGTTTTAATTGTTGGTAGGAGTAATCAAAGTATTAAGAGATAATTGATGATAGATAAAAGATTAGAGGTTAGTGATAAGAGATAAAAGCAAATGACAAGTGATAAGAGATATTAGTAAACAACCAGTGAACATGTTTGCTTTCGGTACCACCGCGAAAATACTGTTATGGTTGAGATTGATAAGATTTTTTTGCATTATTATAGACGCTAAACATTCCAAAGTGCTGCAAAAGCTGTTTACTGATAAGAGCAAACAGTAAACAGATTCGATTATAAAACATCGCCAAAACGATTAACCACAAACTGTTTGCTTTCGGTACTTTCACGAAAATACGCTTCTTATCTCTTATCAATTATATTTTGTCTCTTATCACGTATCTCTTATCTCGACTGACTAATGTCTTATCAATTGTATCTTATTTCTAACTTAAAGTGATAGAGTGTAACACGAAAATGACGACATAAAATGTCTTTGAACCA